AAACCAAACTTAAATATATTAGTAATATTTTCGATTATAACACCACAGAAAGTCATCATAATATTTAGTCTAGAATTTTATATATTACAGCTTTTCTTTTTTCTAGATAAAGCTTTGTTGATGTAGTTGTTCAAAGTAACCATAGTGTCTACACATGGTCTATAAATCAAAAAGTACTAAAAATAAACCCGAATAAAAACAAAACAAGATTTTAGACGTACTGAGCACTTGACAAGTATTTACCAGTGTATAATTATAAAATGAAAACACCACCATTCATTTTATTATATTGTCGAAAGTACACAGTTGTTATAAGAACACGGTTCCCCAGTCGTTAAATTTTGCTTGTTATTTTTGTTTATAAAAAATAGTGTAAGTTCATTTCAGTAAGTGCGCGAGCCCACAAACCTGAAATGGGCGAGTGTAAGTCATTCATTAAACTGGGGATGACGGACTACCAATACATTAAAGATGAGGGGGTTTCAGCTTCCAATATTCCAGGAGGACTGAGTCCCGTTTTCATGTCCTGGCAGTGGATCAAACCCCAGAGTCTCCACGTAGTCAGCGTCATTAATTCCTTCAACGTGTCTGTCGTCGGGCCGATTCACGTAACTTGACAGCAGAGACTCGTGGACGTTAACGACACGTATACCGCTACAGCATAAACTACAACAAACCAAACTGCTCAGCAGTGAACGTATACTGCAGTCCATTTCTCAAACTTTGTTTTCCAGATCGAAACTAATGTCAAAGAAAGGTGAGTAGAAAGTCACCAGATGATCAGTTGCAAATATTTTTCGAACAGAAAAGGTGTTTGAACAAGAGCTGTGGCATAGTAGGTTTGAGAAATTTAATGGACTCCAACTGGACGACATTTCGGCTTCTATACTGAGGCCTTCTTCGTCCTTTTTCACTCAATAGGCAGTTGCAGTCCATTAAATTTCTCAAACCTACTCTGCCTAAAGTCCCATTGAAACAAGAGCTGTGGCAGTTTCATCTTCAGTAACAGACCAAGTGTTTATATAATTTGTTTGTTTGTTATTAAGCGCATAACTGCATATCGAGCTGTTTGTGCTGTGCCCCCCGCAGGGATTGAGCCCCGAATCTTAGCGTTATAAGTCACGGAGCTCACCGCTGAGCCACCGAGGGGAATATATTTAGAAAAAAATAAAACGCTAGCAGTATGTATCCTGTCTACATGCAAAAGTGGTACCAAATCACCCAAGTTTGTTTTTCTGGCTTACCAAGTAATATCAGGGTGTTAGTAAGTACAAAACAAAACATTAGAACAAAAGAGAAGAGAAAAAATAGAACGTGATAGAAAAAAGTTATTGGCTTTCTATGAACACGTCGTGATTCTTTGAAAAGCACCATACGTGTGATATCCTTTGACGCATGCGCTGAAGAATCTGTATAACGTCAGATAGAGAGACCTAGCGATAAGCTTTTATCTTTGACTAAACCTGTGTTTTGAGCGTACGCTATTGAGAAATAACTTTTCGTCGCTGCCAACGGATCCCAATAATCATGTCTGATCCATTTTAATTGTGTGGCGTAAATACGGGGTTCTAACGTGATTGGTTTTACTTAACGTTAAACGTAAACATTTTGAATTTATACACTAGACTATTACTACTTCTCTGTCTTTGAAAGCAAGCTGTGGTTTACGTTTTCTTAACATTTTAAATATTTATGTATTATTTTAGTTGTCGTGGAATTATCTTGACTATATATATATATATATCAAAATTTATTAATTTACACTACTCTTATCAAATGTAACGAAGTTCGTAGCTTTATGTTAAACCGAACCCACGCCTGTTAGACAAGCTGGCTGATCAATTTTACCTGATTGACCCTGTTGTGGACACGATGACAGCATTCGGAGGATCCAACCGAACACCAGCTCATTTTGCCTTATTTGATGCCATAAAAAACAGGAGATACAGACAAGCACTGCTTCTTGTTGAAGCAGGTGTCGATGTCAACAGCCGGAATGAACGTGGAGAAACCCCACTTATCTGCACGTGCAGCCACGTGGAAGAATGCAGAAACCGTACAAAGCTGGGGCGGCTTTTCTTGGACGCGGGTGCAGATCCAAACATGCAAGACTGGCAAGGTTTGACGGTGTTGATGCACGCTTCGATAAAAGGACAGACAGACATGGTGTTACTCATCCTAGAAAACGTACGTAATTGTTATAGAAAAATAAATGTATTCCACTATTTTGGTTGGAGACGGCTTGAATGGGTGATGATGACAAAACCTTGTCGAAACGTTGTACATTTGCTGTCATGTTAAACTTATATTAAAAGTTTTTCTTCATTACCCATTTAAGCCGTCTCCAGCCATTATCTTGCTAGTTAATTATACAATTTACCGTGTACTACTATATATTCGTCTCTGATGGATTTAACGCATCAACTCGAAAGATACTCGGGCTCTAATAAGGGTTAAGATACTCGGGCACTAATAAGGGTTAAGATACTCGGGCTCTAATAAGGGTTAAGATACTCGGGCACTAATAAGGGTTAAGATACTCGGGCTCTAATAAGGGTTAATTTGAAATGGAGATAAATATCGTGTGTTGAGAGATTTTCTTTGTTAAGTTATAGCATGTGAGTTTGTTTGTAATTAAGCACAAAGTTACACAATGGGCTATCTGTGCTCTGCCCACCACGGG